TGTATAAATGTATATATTTATATATTTATTTGAGTTTTTGCTCTAGTATTTATCATTGTAAATATTTTGTATCCCATCAATATTTATGCGCTGCCAATAAATATGCTGTCTCTTTAAATATTGATTTATTCCTCAATGGCCCAACGAGCTTCGATGGTCATTTCAAAATTGGTTTTGTTTTTAATATTTTGATTGGCGAGCACTAAATGTTATTGCTTTCGCATTGCCTTAATCGTAGCTATGAATACTCAACTACTTGACTGTATGAATATCCCTATTTACTTTCCTTATATTCAGCTGGCTTACAATTAGACGTGTTCACATTCGTTATTTCAACTGGCACTTTGCATAGATCGTGTGTATTACGTATGTATATATAAAGAGATATTAACAGAGATATACATATATGCAGCTTTGATTGAAGTAAGAACTCTATTACTTAATGCATGCATTCCATTATATATTGTATGTGTATTTTATGCTGATGCGTATACTTAATATTTGCCTATATACCAAACGATAAAATTGAGCCTGCAACAAATTAAAAAACCTTATGCTCGTACATAAATATAGATTTATGTGTATGTATGTATGTATGTATATGTATAAACTGATTCGTTGTATTGCTATTGTAATCCTGCTTGTGTTTGGCATGCATACACACACTCATACAGAGAGAGATATGTATGTGTGCATGTGCATGCATGTAACGGTACTGTATGTATTTTAAAATGGCGCACAATTTAATACATGACTGCCTATATTGCCTATATTTAATTTCACCTTTTTTCACTGTTTGCATTTTGTTTGTCTCTATACTATTTCACTATGGCTGGTTGATTTTACGAATGAGCTTTCATTGCATTTAATTAAATTTCAATGATGAAATGATAAAATGCCAAACGAGGCCTGCATCGCAAGCACAAGCGCTAGCTTAATTGCACGTTAACAAAAATTAAAAGCAAATAAAACACACGCACACACGCACACACGAGAACACGCACACACACACACACATGGGACAACAGCGAGAGAAATAAAGGGTATTTCATAAAGCAAGCGATTCGCAATCAAGTTTGAAGTCCGGCATAATTGAGCACGTTGCACACATCAGATTCCACAAATGCAACAATTTGCAATAATTGTTAATTTGCACCGCGGATTGTCTGGACTGAGGCGAAAGCGTTGCCCAGAACGGCTCTGTCGATATCTTTGACAAAACGGCGACAAAAACTGCCTTTTCGGCTGCCAGCAAAGTACTTTGGCTAATCACGTTGAGGGCTGCCAACAAACGGATGAGGATGGGGATGTGGATGTGGCTGTGTATGTGGCTGTGGATGTGGCTGTGGATGTGGCTGTGGATGTGGATGCGGAAACGCAGGCACGCAAGCCCCATTAAATGGCCATAGTTTTTGGAGCGTTTTGTTTTGCACTCACGTATCCGCTAAATGTTTCAATTTTGGCGGCTCCATAAGGCGCCAGCAGACATTTAATAATAAATGCAGTCGCCAGCAACAGGAACTGAAACATTTGTGAGTCCGCGAATTGCGAGGACAACGGCGTGCCTGTCTCTCTTATCGACCATTTTTGCTGCCTCTCGGCCAAAAAGCAAATAAAATTATAAGCGAATTTCAAATGCTTTTGCCCGCTTTCATTGCAAAATGCAAATTCTATTCAACAACAGGGTGGGCAAGAATGAGAGAATGAGAGAGAGAGAGAGAGAGAGAGAGAGAGATGGGGGAAGCCTGGCTCTGGCCAGTGTCAACTTCGTTGCATACTTTTCTGCGCGACATGCAATTAAAATGCAAAAAAGCCAACGGCAGCGAGTGATGCCCACATCCAGCAACGCCCACCCAATAAGCCAAGGACCAAAATCGATGCACTCCAATGCGAGATGCACCCATTCCAGTCAGCCAGCAGAAGTAGCAGCAGCAGGAGCAGCAGCAGCAGCATCCGGGCAGAGCAGCGAGCACCGCAACCAGCAGCAGTTGCTGGATTGTCTATGCAACGTCTGCGGTTAGCGCAAGTTTGCTGTGCGTGTGCATTCGTCTATATGTATGTGTGTGGTCGTGTTGATTCAGCGTTAATCTTGTTGGAATTTCGCGTTTTGTCAACATTCCTTGCCAAGTTTTCGAATGCGTTTGCCGCTAGTTATTTCAGTGCCTGAATGCAGCTCGTGGAATATCAAGTATGGCATATGCTCTGGCATGTTAGAAGAACTTTTGATTGATTTGTGAATGCTTTTAGCTTTCAGCTTTTAGCTAACTGTATGTGTGTGAGTGTGTGTGTGTGTATCTCTGTGTGCGCCCAAAAATAAATGTAATTAAGTCCTTGCGATGCATATGTTAAACAAAAAACTTGAAATTCAGTTCAACTGGCTTTGGGTCTCGATTTGGATTTGAATAATCTATTGGATTGCTTTTGCAATTATTGTAATGGCTTCAACTGTCTATTTGCAGTTCGCTGCGAACTGTCTATCAACTGTTATACAACTAGCTCTTATACTGTTCAATATCACCTTTACACTGAACTATCAACTAGACTAAGCTTATTATAAATTCGTATTGCTCGCTTAACGTGTGTATCACCCGGGCCCAACTCGTATTATCCTGCTCCTCCTCCTGTATGAGTGCACGGCTCTTAAATATGTAAATCTTATGCAGCATCGATGCTGATGACCGTGTCCTAGGGATGCTTCGTGTAATTGTTCAATGGCATCTCCGTGGCCAGGCTGTGGGCCACCTCCTTGTTGCGCTCGTGCAGGGCCATGTCCAGGGGAGCGCTGGCTGGTTTCTTCTGCGCCGCCTTCTGCGTCTTCAGCTGCACGAGGATGGAGAACGGTGAAATTAGATGGAAATTGCAAAAGAGAGGATGTGCATTAGTCGGTGTGAATAGTGCGCGGCTCGTAGGTTGGGTTTGGGCAGGGGTTGCTATATTTACACGCTGTATGGTCTTCTCAAAGTCCTGCGGCGGTTCGGGTCGCTTCATGGTACCGCAGCTTTTCAAGCGCTCGTTCGTCTGTTAAATACAAACATAAATTCATGATATAAATAAGTATGGCTGCAACCCGTGATTACTTTATCAAACTAAGCAGAGCGCAGCTCTGGCTGCCAGACGGCATGAAACAAATCGACACCTCACAACAAAACCACAAAAAAGAGAGCTGAATAAAGACTGGAGCGAAAATGAAAATGAAAATGTCAAATGAAAAGCGGCGAGCAACGAAAAATTAATGAAAGGCCAAACTGAGAATTTCCCCAAAGCAACATTTCCGCAACAGACCGCATAATGAGAGAGCGCAGCCAAGTTTAGAATCGTACATACGCGTCTCTGTGAGCTGCTGTTGTTGTTGGCTAACCATGGCCGGCAGCTGTTACCGCCACCCCGACTCCTGCCAGTCCTCAAAAAAGGTAATGAGTGCCAAAGGACAAACACACACTCACACACACACACACGCACGCAGGGTGAACTTGCGGGCCACAATTGTCGCCAGTGCTTAGCCCAAGTCATTTTCAAAATTGACCACGCCGCACAAAAAGCCGAGAGTCGGGACTCTGTTGCGCTGGGCGACAGCAAATTGCGCTTAAATATTAAATGAACAGCAACAACAAAAAAGCGGTCGGAAAAAAGAACAACAGAGAAAAGAAGCTACACAAATACGGCAAAGAAATGCCGGACAACAACCGTAAAACACGAAAAGTTATAAACTCTCTCAGGAGCGCAAAAAGAGACTCGCAAAACAAAACACTTTTTGGCACGCCTGAAATAATAAAAACAAATGCGGCGCTGTCGTTGAATGTTGTTCCCCCTCAACAGGAGAAAATAAAATACAAATACGAAATACGTAGTACAAAAAAACAAAAGGAAAAGGACATTCGTGTGTTGGGAATCAACGGATGCCAACCGCAGAAAGCAAACGCGCAAAGGTGCAAATGAGTGGGCGACCAGCAACGTACCTTTAACTCTCTATCTCCCTCTCTCTCACACTGTCTCTCTCTCCCTCTCCTTTTCAGCTTCCGGCCATTCCCCAAGAAGTGCAGAAACGTACTGCAAGCCGTTAAGCTAGACCGGACAAATCCTTTGCCTGTTGGTGGCACATCCTTGCACCTCACCTGCGCAGTTCATATCTCTTTGGCCGTTGTCCGTCCACCATTTGCATGCTGCACATATAACAGCTGCACCCCATCTTTATCTGCCTCGCTCTTTCTATCTCTCTCTCTCTCTCTCTCGCACTCTGCCTTTGGCGTACTCTTACATTTCTGTTTTGTCATCTCGTGCAACGCCCTTCGCACAAGGCAACGCAATTAACGGTAATTGCCTTTTATCGGCTTAGTCCTGATAAGTTTTTTCCCTTTGTTTGCCTTCCACTTCCTCATCCTCTGTCTCTCTCACTCTCTGTCTCTCTCACTCTGACTCCGACTCTGTCAACTTGGCAGTGGCTCTTTTTGTTGTTGTTGTTGTTATTGTTGTTGCTGTTGTTATTTGTAGGTTAACGCGGTTTTTATATTTTAATTTAATTTTATAAGTAGCACACGGGAGGCGGTGCCCGAGGTCAAAAGTTTGTCTTTGCAAAAATTAGACATAAAAAGAGCGTTCAAAAAGTTTCTCTCATTGGTTGAGGGCACAAAATGCTTTGAAGTATATTACATAGCAGTTAAATATGCAAAATAACGCTCTATACATACCATCATACCCAAATAGAAAAGAAAACAAAGGAAAAGTCAAATACAGCGGAAATAATTATAATTCCACTTAACGTTGTGCTCTATCGATAATGTAACGAGCCCTAACAAAATTACTTGTTGCAGTTAAATGATGGGGAAATAATCATTAGATAATTTAATTAAAACAAAAATATTATATTTGATAAGGAAATATCAAATAGCACTTGAACAATTCTTAAACTTATGTCTCACTTAATTTCCTCCGACGAATACCATAATACATAATGGGAAATAAAAATCCCAACTAATGTGGACGCCATAAAGTAAATTTATTTTAATAGAGCGAGTTTCTATTATAGAGAGACTAAAATCCACGAATTAGACAACTGAACAATACCCAAGCCAAATTATATTTGATACTATGCTAAAATCTTTATTATATATAATAATACCTCTACTATATAAATACCTCTACTATATATTAATAACTCAATTTGGTAAATTCCTCGTATTCATTATAATATCTCTGATGTAAAACACTTACAAATAATTTACCCCTAGTAAACAATTTGAATATGAAATGAATAATGTACGCGAAGAATAAATGCAAGTTCGGTACAGGCTAAGGAAATTTACAAATGGAGTTAGAGAAAGAGAGAGAGGGAAACACTTAATATGGAATGCCTTTACATTACCATCTCGCCTCTTTTACTGTTTTCTTTTAATTACCGCCATTAAAACCTCTTTATACAAACTGTCCCCATTTGCTCGATTCCCCATTTCGTGCAAATCAATATTCAATATATTTAACAGCCGTTAAGTATGACGATTTGACACCCTTCCCCGCCCCCTCCCGCACACTCACCTTCAGTTGCATGCCCTCGTTGGCATTGAGCTCGTCTCCGCTCTGCCGCAGGCCCTGCAGGAAGCGGGCGAATACCGTACGTCGCTGTTTGTTCTTGTTGCGCCCCTCTGCCGGAAAAAGGGAGAGAGAGAGAGAGAGAGAAATCAAACCGATATTAAAAGCCACAAGCCGTACGCTAAACATACAGCTAACGATTGAGTAGCGGGCGAGTCGAAACCAATGTAATTGAATTAAAAGCCATAAAAACTCAAACAGCCGCATCAAAGTGGCAAACTGGCAAATGGGCAGGCCACATGCAGCACATGCACCTGGCCGCCTTCTCACCTGGCCCCTGCCTTACCTGTTGCCGAAAAGTCGTAAAAGAAGTTGGTGCGCGCCCCGGGATAGCTGTGCTGCATGCCATTCAAATTGAGCGCCGACTTGGAGTCGATGGCGTTGCGGGCCATCCGATTGGCCAAATCGTTCTGGGTATAGCTGTAGATCTCGTTCTCCTCGCGATTCGACAGGCAGCTCGATGGCTGCATACATGCATAATAAACGAAATGAATTAGAACTCATTCGCCATGCGGCTCGTGCGGCCTGATTAGCCCGGCTCGTAAAAACAGTCAGCCGTAAAAGTCAATGTGCTCTCTGCTTACCAAATACTTTCCGGGCACATAAAGCGGCTGACTGTGGCTGGTGGGCAGCACCGAGGAGCCCACGAGTCCGCCTGTAGCGCTGCCGCTGCCACTGCCGCCGCTGCCACTGCCCCCGCTGCCACTGCCGCTGCCGGCGCCAGCGCTGCGTCGCGTCAGCGTATGTCCTGTCGAGATGCGCACATGGCGCTCCTTCCACTTGGACACGCGCACCTGCTCGATGGCATCCAGTACGTCCTCGTAGGGCATATTGATCTGCTTGCTATAATGCGCAGCGAGACCCTCCAAGTAGCCGCGTTTGCCCTCCTGCGGGAAAAGCATTTGAGAGGGGGGAATAAGAAATAAATGCTAAGCATAACTATGCGTAGAGAGGAGCTAATCAGGCTATTAGGCAAGCTGATCGTGGCTTAAAGTTAGGATCAGAGTTTGACTTGCCTGTTAGCTCAATACTTTAATTTATCTAGGTATTATTTTATTATGGCAGCAGCTAAAGATTTCCAAGCCACATGCCCGACTTAATCGAAATTCAATTTGCAGCTGTGGAGCGGCTGAGCTGAGCTGCTCTCTCAGTCGGAACTCATTCACGTGCACATATCTTTAATCTCCACATTCCACCTGTAGCCAGCAGCCGCAGTCGTCGCTTTGATGCTGATGCTGATGCTGATGCTGACCAGGGTCAACTGCTAAGACGCTTTGTGGCCCAGAAACACAAGTGTTAATATCTTCCGGTAATTAGCGTAAAGCTGCTAGTTAAATGTGTCCTGCTTGACATTCAAAGTGTCCACTGAAGCATCAGTGCATCCTCTTAAGGCATTCCAAATGTCTATCTATCTGTGCGTCTGTGTGTGTGTATGTGTGTAACTGTTGTCTGCTACTGTTGCTGCCAGGCAAATTCATTTCGAGTCGCAGCCATGCAAACATTTGTGCTGAAATGCAACTTGTCTGCAACTGTCAGTCAGTCACTGATGCACACACACACACACACATGCACATACACTGGCACACACTGGCACACACACTCGTGTCTGCCTCATCAGCGCAAAGTGCAATTAGTTGAAGTTGCGCGCATCAACATGGCCCAGACAGAGCCAAGCAGCCAGAAGCTAACAAGTCTAGCCCCTGGCCCAGCTTCCTTCTCTAAGCTTTTGTAGTCTCGCACGAGCGCAGACACCTGTCACACACACACACACACACACACACACACATACATGCACACACATGTAGACATGTATTTTTACTTGACTGCATTTCCATTTCATATAATTTTATTGCCGCATTTAAGTTGCATTTCAATTTGCGGCCGAGACGTGATATTGCGCATACGACGCGTTGCACAAAATGTTTGTTTGTTTATTTGTCTACATGCGAACAGGCAAACTATGTTAAGTGCCCAAAAAAGGAAGAGCATCCAAACTGCTAATTAGAATGCAAGGCAGCTGCTGCCAGGCAGACAGAGCCCGTCACAAGAGCTGCTCCGTTGCGTGCTCCATCATCAAGAGGCACAGTTCGGCACTTGGGCAGGTGTTGGGCATGGCCAGTGCATAATGTGTCGGCTGAACGATGCGTGCTCAATGGCCCACCTGACCACGCCCACTTGCATTTGCAGTGGCCTCCCCCACCCCACGCCTCACTGCTCTAAATATGCAACTTTAAATCAAAAGCAGCAGCAGCGGCTCATTCCGCATTTATTTGCAGCGCACTTTTCTTCGAATGTGCATGCGGCCCTGAACCAGTGACATGTTTCTATTTGCTCAGCAAAAGTGCAAGAGAGCCATGGAAGGGGTTGCCGGGTGCACAGCTGAGCGGGTGGGTGCAAAGCTGCCGCTAGACACGCTCGCAGAACTCATCGCATCGGACCCAACAATGCGAACACGTCTGCAGAGCTCTATCAGTGCGAGGAGCTCTGGTGTATATTTCCTTAAATGCGCACTTTTTATGCATGTGGCACAGTGGCCCACGACCGATTCAAATCGCGCTCAAATCCGTTCATAAATATGCATTTGAAATGATTATGCAAAATCGGGTAAGAATGAGGTTTGTAAATATTTTCATTATTCGGGAATGTGGAAATTCGAAGCTCTTATACAAATTCTGATTTGCTTCATTCATAACGAGTTTTCTTCCTAAGGAGGAGCATCTGCTCAATCAGAAAGGCGTTTAGCAACTAAATATAACATAACTGTTGTATCATATTCTAAATATTCTGCGTAGTAATCCAAAAATATCTGTTGTTAATATATTTGTTTGCTTAATGAAATTAGTTTCCATTATGAATGTATATAAGATAAAATATTTTAAGATCATGAGACTTCTTATAATTTCCAAGCTGTCAGATTTATCCTTTGTATTCTTTATTTATTTATTACTAAATGAGCTAATTTTATATTTTATATTTAAATAAATGAGCTAATTTAATATTTTATATTTAAATAAATGAGCTAATTTTATATTTTTCGACTAACAATCGGCAAGGTCTACTCTAGTATAAATGATCGTACCATTTTATATATATTTCAAATATTATTTTAGGTAAATAATATAAATGAAAATTAAATAAAAAACGTTCTTCAATTTTCACAACTGAGCAGTTTTGTGTCCAGTTTTCTATTGAGCCAAGCCCACTGTTAATGGAATCTATTTGAATTCTTTTGTTGTTTTGTTCGCCTGCTGCAACACTTGCATTATGGCCACATTGTTGCCAACGCTGCTTTATCGTGCGTGTCTAGCAGCAGCAATTTGCCCGTGTTGCAAGCGCTGCACAAATTTGTACATTGGCAGAGATCATTAGGGGGCGACTGTTGCTCTGCTGTTTTGCCAGTCCCCGGTGGCGTTTATGGCCCAATTTGCTCAAGCCGGGGGCAGAGGCAGAGGCAGTTGCTGCCCAAAATAAACAAAATTAACGCAATACAAAAAGCATTTCCCACGGCTAAGCCAAACCGACATATTATAAAATAAACTTTCTAGCAAAATGTGTACAAATGGCTGCCCGGTTGTCCGGCTCTGCACGGCTCTGCACGGCTCTGCCCGGCTCTGTGGGCGGTCGCTGTGCCAGGACCAACAGTGTCGGCCAGACCAGACACGCGGTTGGCCACTCGGTTTAACTAAATTAAAATCGTGTTAATTTCACATTAGAGCGCACACAGCGCACCAGGCAGCAGCCAGCATAGGCTGTCCGCTTGGCCGTTCCCGAATGGCGACCATTACAAAACCAGCGGCGACTGTCACACGCTGCAACCGAACAACAGGTCCCCCATGGCGTGGCATGCAAATTGCAAGCGGTAAATAAAATGGCCAAGATAAGGCGACAATGAAACTGAAGCTGAAACTAAAACTAAATGAAGTACTCACCGGCGAGGAGTAGGGATGGGCTGTGAGGCGTATGCCATCGGCCTCCAGGTGGCGCTTCATCACGCCCTCGAGCTCCTTCATGGTAATGGGCGTGTCGCAGTCGGAGGCCAGTATCTCGTTGCTGTTGCTGAGCGCCTTCGGATCGTTGATCAGCACATAGACAATCGCAGCGCCCTTCTCGCGCAGCGCCCGCACGCTCTTGAGCAGCTTGCCGCGATGCGAGGAGTTGTCCACGCCGATGGCATCCAGATCGATCTCGCCAATCTGCTTGCAGATCTCCAGCTCGTCGTAGCCGTTCTCGAGGAAGCTCTCGCCGTACTGCGGCAGCCCGATAGTGCGCAGCCACTCGCAAACGATGTTGTGGTGCGGCATGTTCGCGTATCACGTAGCGGCCGATGGAGCCGGAATGTCCAGCGGTGCGAACGAGACTTTGGGCTGCCGCGGCTTGCAGCTGTTGCTGCTGTTGCTGTTGCTGTTGCTGTTGGTGCTGCTGCTGGGGGCCGCCAGTGGCTCCAAGTGGTTGATGCTGCTGGCGGCGCTGCTGCTGCTGCTGTTGACCGTTGCCTTCATAGCAACGCCTGCAAAGAAACACAACATCCACATCCACGTCAACATCAACATCAATGAAAAGCGAAAGCCAACTTATGCTACAGTGTGCAACAGTGCGTATGCTTAATAATGGCTCGTCACTTCCGGCGCCCGCAAAAGTATGCAATAGGCAGTTATACACGTATATCAATTTTGTGTTAATAGCCATCATTGTTCACAGACAGACAGACGGACAGATAGAGAGAGAGAGAGAGAGAGACAGACTTGTTTGGCCAGGCAGCCTATAAGCACTTAATGATAATGCTCGGTCATGTACACGGGCCACTAAAACACTCGAATATGTTTAGCCCCGGAAGCCACTTGCATATGAATAAGCCACTTAAAATGACAGATGGACTCAATACACAAACACATATACACACACACACAGAGACAGATACACAGAGTGAGAGGGAAAGACAATCATGGATGGCAGCAGTGGTGAGGCGGAGCACTTGAACAAAAGACAAAAGGAAGTCGTCTAACTATTTATAATGTCCTGGCAGACAGTTCGTCCTGCGCCTGAAAAATATTTCTGCTTGTCGAAAAATGAAATGCAAATGGCTATTGCCACTAGAAATATGTGCTGCCATTTCCACAACACATTCGTCTGGCTTAGCTCAGGTGTCCAGTCGTGCGAGCGCACACACACACACACACACATACAGCGAATTCAAGGAAACAATGCTCTAATGAAAAGATGTTATGTGGCTACAGTTTTCGGTTGTGCTGCTCCTGCAGCTGTCATTAAGTAGGGTGGTCCAGTGACATTGTCTGTGTGTTGATTTATTTACACACACACACACTCAGACACACTGAGGGTATACATATTTATAAGATATTTCATTTGTTGTTTGCTGCCACTTGGGAGCCACATTCAGGCACTTGAGTTTGCCTAGCCGACTTATTGATCAGAACGCAACAGCCCAATACCACAGTCAACAATGCTCTCTCTGCCCCATTCCTCTACGGCAGATGATTGAACAGCCCCTGGTAATTAAATGTGGAAATTGTTGTACAATAAACGATATTAGATATCATATTAAATATTCCAAGAGTTTTCTCAATTTTTTTGTGCATATTGGGAAACACATGAAATATTGATATTGAAATAAAAGATTAGGAAATGATTAAGAATTGTAATTGAATATTTAGATATTCGTGTAGAAATCTATATGTATATATATTT